TTCCCTTTGGCCTTCTTCCCCTTAGGCGAGAGGAGAGAGCTCATATATTATTATTACTACTACTATTACTACTACTAGAGGCCTGGTGCATGAATTTGTGCACAGGTGGGGTCCCTTGGGGTTGGCCTGCGGGGATCGGGCCAAAACCCATAGTCCAACGCCACCTACTGCTCCTGCCTGCCACTCCCACTCATCCCGGCCCCACTGCGCCTGCCTCGGGCTCGCACCCAGTCAGTCCCGATCGGGAGAGGCTCGCGCTGCTGCAGCGGCACTTGCCAGCCCTGAGCCCTACATCTGGTGCCCGTCCCAAGTGGGGATTGCTAGACGCAATGCGGTGGGATGCCCTTGCTGGCCCAGCATCTGAATCTGTCCCACTGACCTTCATGTTGGTTGTCGGGTCCATCTGACAGCCGCTTTTATATCCTTTCTTCCTTGCCAAGCATCTAGGGAGGGGAAGTGGCCACCGTGCCTGAGGCCGGTTTCCAGGAGGCTGGCAGCACTGTCAGGATCAGTTGTGCCAGCAGCACCAGTCCATTGGTGCCTGGCTTGTTCTCCCAAGATTGGACCTGCAGGACTACTGAGGGAGGGAGTGGCTGCCACTGGGCTGGTGGGCCGCCAGGACAGGTCAGTCAGCTGAGCAGCGCTCCCGCTGTGGGAGTGCACTGGCCACCAGGGGACAACTCCCTTGTTGAGCATCTTCCCCCTGGTGGTCAGTGTGCATAATAGCAACTGGTTGTTCGGTCGCTTAGGCGCATATATACACACACACACACACACACACACACACACACACACACATACACACACATACACACACACACATACACACACACACCCTGCCGACCTGATCTCGCCCCCAACTGCTTTCCTTGCCGGCTTGATCTTACCCCCAACTGCCCTGCCGGTCTGATCTCACTCCCAATGGCCCTCCCCTGCCAGCCTGATCATCCCTAATTGCCTCAGCCCCCACCACCATGGCTTTTTCCAGAAGGAAGTTGGACATCTGGAAGATGGCCGATCAACCCGGTCTAATTAGCATATTACCCTTTTATTAGTATAGATAGATTATATAGGATAGGATTGCTTAAATGGGGGGTTGGGGGAAGCCTTTTTCAGCAGGAGGAGATGCTCTTGGAAGACAAAAATACATAATCCCTATATCTGGACTGATAGCCAGCCATATGCACTATACTGCCAAACGGGTTATTAAAAAATTGAGCCGCTTTCTTACACCTTACACCAAACAGCTGTTGCCCTTAAAATCCCTCCTCAGCCCCCACCTTAGGTTCTGCCTTCGCAGTTCACCCAGATTTGGTTCTGATTGGTCGGTTTCTATGCCAGTCAGCATCTCCAGGCCTGATCAGAGAGGCGAGGCTGATCAACAGCCACCCCACACTGCTGGCGAGCAGGCTGAACTGCTGATCTCTCGGAGAGAGAGAGGCATGGCTGCTGGCGAGGCCTGGAGAGAGAGAGAAGCAGGGTCTGACCCGCTGCTTCTCTCTCTGCAGTCCTCACTAGCAGCTGCGGTAGCCGCTGATCAGCCCCACTCTCTCTCTCCCTGAGAGCTCAGCAGTTCAGCCCACTCGCCAGTCCCCACCCACTGGAGCCTGCTGCGCGTGCTGCCTGGAGTTCGGTCGAGCCTTTGGTCGTTTTGGGTGTTATGGACCCTGGGTTTTTATATATTAGTAATATATTATTAATATATTATTAGTAATATATTATTAATATATTTTTAAATATATTTTTATTGATTTTAGAAGGGAAGGGAGAGAGAGAGAGAAACATCAATGATGAGAGAGAATCATTGATTGGCTGCCTCCTGCATGCCCCATACTGGGACCAAGCCTACAACCCAAGATGTGCCTTTAACCGGAATCGAACCTGGGACCCTTCAGTCTGCAGGCCGATGCTCTATGCACTGAGCCAAACCAGCTAGGGCTTATTTTTAATTCTTCTGCAAGAATATCAAAAGGAATTTCCCGCCCTAACCGGTTTGGCTCGTGGTCCCAGGTTCTATTCTGGTCAAGAGCATGAACCTTGGTTGCAGGCGCATCTCCAGTAGGGGGTGTGCAGGAGGCAGCTGATCAATGTTTCTCTCTCATCAATGTTTCTGGCTCTCTATCCCTCTCCCTTCCTCTCTGTAAAAAAATCAATAAAATATTTTTTTTTTTAAAAAGGAATTTCCCACCATTTATGTATTATTCAATTATGTATTAGATGATTATTTTTATCAACATAATACATGCATCTAATTTACAAAGTTAAGGCTTTTAAGGAGAAATAATAACTCCCTAAAGTCTTCAGCTATTTATTTGTTCAGGAACTTCTGGATAACATGCTTACTCTATTTGTATTTCTTGGTTCTTTTCTCTTTTATATAAATTGAACTATATGAAATTGACAATATTCATCTGTTTCTGAGCTGCAAAAAATGGCAATTTAATATGGTTCAACCTAATACCTAGTATTTTGACTTCCTATTACTTGTCCAGCTGATTGTGTGACATTGGAGTTGGCTCATTTCTTTTGTGAATTGTGACTTTGCACTTGCCCTTCATCTGACCTGGCTTGGGGATCAGACCCCACCAGCTATAGGCTTCCCCAGACCAGGAATCTGTGCCTGTGTGAGGAAGGGGCTGTAGGATGTGAGGTCAGCGTCTGCTGTGGTACCTGCCCCCCCCCCCCACCCCCCATAGGGCAGCTGTGGTGCAAGGCCTTGAGGGCTTCCTGGACTGTCTGCTCTGCTGATACCCACAGGGCCTGAGTTCTGTGCCTCTGGCGTACTGGTGCATGGCCCTGCAGGGTCATGGCCACGAGTCCAGCTCTCCCTGAATAGTTTTAGACCAACTATTGAACCTTTTGTGCCTTAATTTTCATCATCCTTCCAGACAGGCTCCAGTCGTGTCCTTATCCTAAAGCCATCGCTGGTATTGGCCCTGGCCTCCTCCTCCAGACCACTCTGTGCTCTCCTTCCTGTCCACAGTGTGAGAGGCTGCCCAGGATTGGGGTCTCAGGGTCAGGGGCGGAGATCCCAGGCTCAGCTCAACCTCTGATCTGCGCCAAGACCCTAGCCAGGTGGTCCCCCTGCTCTGGGGCTTCTGTCTCCCCATCTGTGCCAAGAGGTGGTTGGTGCTGATAGTCTGAGAGGCCTCCGAGTGCCTGAGAGCTGGTGGTGTCTGCACTGGTGAGCCCCTCCCCTCATCCTTCCATGGGGCTGGCCCTGCTCCTCCTGCTCCAGGCACTGGAGGTCTTGGGAGCATGGGCCAAATGGATTGTAAGACTATAGGTGCAGCATGTGGGGACCTTGGCAAATCCCAATTCTGCTCTGGGCCTCTGAGAGGGATGGTGGGCTGCACGTCTAGAGCTCTTTCGATTCTGTGGTTCATACAGGAAAGACGGAGAGCTGGGTGCACATACCATTGTGCCCAGTGCAGGGAGGGAGGAGCACTCGGCAGACATCACAGAAACGAATGTAAAACGGCAATTTGGATGAGTTTGTGCTGCCAAATAGAGGTTAATGGGGCCAAAACTCAGTCTGGGGCATATGGGTGGGCTTTTCTGAGGAAGATCTTCCTGAAGTCTGAAGGGGGGCAAGCAGGTGTTGACTAGATGGAAGTGGAGAGAGCATTCCAGGCAGAGGAAACAGCCAAGATCCTGCAGTGGGAGGGAAGAGGCCAGTGTGGCTGGAGCAGAGTGAGGTGGAACATGGGGGAGCGTGAGGCATGTACACGGCAGGGGCCAGGTGCAAGGCCTCAGAGCCCCAGGGAGCTTATCTTCACCCTACTAGCTAGCCATAGGAAGCCTTTAGAGCAGTGGTTCTCAACCTGTGGGTCGCGACCCCTTGGGGGTCGAACGACCCTTTCACAGGGGTCGCCTAAGACCATTGGAAACACATATATAATTACATATTGTTTTGTGATTAATCACTATGCTTTAATTATGTTCAATTTGTAACAATGAAATTGGGGGTCACCACAACATGAGGAACTGTATTAAAGGGTCACGGCATTAGGAAGGTTGAGAACCACTGCTCTAGAGGGTTTTAACATGACCAGATTTGTTTTGAAAAGCAGCCTCTGGCTGCTAGGGAAAGTGGACTGAGGGAAGGGGAGGTTCGAGATTAGGGAGCCCAGAGAGGAGATGCTAGTGATGACAGTGGCTTGTCCAGGGTGGTAACTGTTAAGATGGGTAGAAATGGGTGGATTTGCCAGCTTAGGACAGTGGTCGGCAAACCGCAGCTCGCGAGCCACATGCGGCTCTTTGGCCTCTTGAGTGTGGCTCTTCCACAAAATACCACGTACAGAGTGAATGAAACTTCATGGCCCATGCGCAGACGTCGGTTTTCAGCCTGGGCGAGTCTATTTTGAAGAAGTGGCATTAGAAGAAGTGGAGGTATGTTCGCTGAGGTCGACGCCTCAGACTGAGGACGTTTTTAGCAAAGGCCAGCTTAGGAGCACCCTAATTAAGTTAATAACAATGTACCTACCTATATAGTTTAAGTTTAAAAAATTTGGCTCTCAAAAAAAATTTCAATCGTTGTACTGTTGATATTTGGCTCTGTTGACTAATGAGATTGCTGACCACTGGCTTAGGAGGTAGAACTGACAGTACTTAGTGGCTGTGTATATGGGAGAAGTATCAGGTGATCCTGTGGCCGGAGGACCTGGAAGATGTGGGGCCTGGGTTCCCAGTGGGAGAAGCTGGTTTGACAGGGAGCTTGGCTAGGGTGCATCCTAGAGGCCTGTGGGTACCCACGAGGTGAGGTCTGGCTGCAGAAGTACCAGTCTGGAGTTCAGGCCAGGGCTTGAGAAGAAGGTGTAGACAATGGTGGAGGGAGGGAGGGCCATACGGGCACTTCTAAGGTGTCAGTGAGACCTTGCAGGGTCAAGTGTAGATCCTGAGGTGGTAGGGTCTCCCAACACCCGCCTAGCTCCTCAGGGGCCCAAGGTTTAGGGGGAGGTACCTCGAAGCTTCTCACACTCTCTCCTCTCCCCCAACAGATCCTGCTGATTTCTGATTACTTCTATGCCTTCCTGCGGCGAGAGTACTACCTCACTCACGGTCTCTACCTGACGGCCAAGGACGGCACGGAGGCCATGCTTGTGCTCAAGTAGGCCTGGCCGGGCACAGGGCTGCACGGACTCGGGGTGGACAGGCCAAAAGCTGGGCCAAGCCCTCGAGCCAGAATTGCCAGCAGGCAAGTCCTCAGGCAGATGAGGTTCAAGTCCAGGGTCACGATCTTGGCACCAGAGGAGAGCCAAGGCTGGCAGCAAGGCCTGTGGGGCTTTGCCAGGCGCACCTCCACTTGGACCCACAGTTTTTGGCTCTGCACACAAAGGAGCCCCCTCCCAGACAGGACAGGGGAGGAAGCAGGTGAGCAGGGTTTGTTAGGTTGTTGACTTAATAAATTTCTTTTTGGTATGAAGTCTACCCTGGGCCCACAGGACACTCCTGGAAGGTGTGGGCCCCTAATACCACCATGGTATACTACACAAGGGTGTGGGCCCCCAGAATGAACCGTAAGTCCACACAACAAGTTGTGCACTGGTGAGCCGAGAATGGCGTGGGACAGGCCACCAGCAGCCCTCCCCACTCCCCAAGCAGCTGGAGGCAAAGGGCCAAGCAGGCCTGAGCAATCTTTATTCTGCAAAGGGACAGTGACCACAGATCCATACACCATGTCAAGACCAGGTGAGCCAGGGGCCAGTCCTTCAAGGGTGGGTGGTTCCAGGCAGGAAGCAGAGCCTCGGGTGGGGGAGGGGCAGGCAGGGGCCTAAAGTAAAAAAGACAAACCAGACAGAGCACGGGTGGTGGGGGCTGCTCCCCACCGTCCACCAGCCAGCACCCAGAGGGGCAACCCTAACGTGACAGGCCCAGGATGCACACAGGGCGGAGGCGGAGTGGTTGGTATCCCCTAAGGGGTAGCATCCCTGCCCGGCCCCCAGGGGCAGAGGAAGCTCAGTTCGGGAGCCAAGAGCTCCCTGGGCAGAGCCTGACATGGCCCCCCCTCTCCCCTTTCAACCCCTCCCCCTACTGCTGGCTCAGAAGCCGAAGGTTTCCTGGGAGGCGTAGACCATGTAGAGGAAGCCATCGTCATCCTTCTCCTGCTCATAGATGTCCGCGATGGGCGTGGACACGCTCACCATGCTGTGCTGGTTCACCAGCAGGAAGAAGGCCTGCGTGGGGTTCAGCTGCAGGCGGCGCCTGAGGACAGGAGGGCAGCCCACAGTGAGGGGCCTGGCTGCCGGCGGGTGTCGCCCCGACTCCCTCCCCAAAATGACTCCCTGCCTTCACTTCACACCCATCCCTGACCTTGAACTTTCCCAGAGAGGGACCCAATGCCCCTCCTATGCCCACTCCCACTCCTCAGAAGGACCTGGCCACCCCAGCAGGACCCAAGTCCCCCCTGAGGGTCGCCGCCCACGCACCGGATTATCTTGACCAACTCGCTCATGTTGACGTGGTCCGGGACCAGGAACTTGGTCTTGTCCAGGACTGGCAGCTGCTTCTCACCCTTGTAGCGCTCGATGATCACCTGGGAAGGGGCGGGCGGGGCCGCGTGAGCTCGGGGCGGGGTCTGGGGCGGGGCCTGGGCCGGCGGGGACGGTGGGACTCACCGGGATCTTGCTGGGGTGCTGGTCGCGGATCTGCTGCACCTCCTTACAGCGGTCGGCTGCGGAAGGAGGTCGGGCGCTGAGGCTGGATCTGGGTCCTCCGTGCCGTTTGCCCCGACGGCCCTCGAGGGGCGGCCCGGCCTGGCCCCACCTCCCCCAAGCCCCCGCCCCCCGGGCCGTCCGGCCAGCCTGGACACAGGACAGGGTGGGGAGGGCCCAGCCCAGGTCAGATCTGCCTCCCAGTCTGGGGTCCGGCTGGAAGCTGACGTCACAGGGCTGACGTCACCTGCGCTGGAGGTTGGGTCGCGCCCCCAACTCCCCGATCCCCACCCCCTCCCCAGATTCGCAGATCGCCCACCAGGCCTCACCGAAGCTCCGCCGCTGCTTGAAAGGCCGGTCCGAGGGCATCTCGCGGGCCCGGCGGGGCGCGCAGGCCGGGACTCCGGGGCGGGGAGGTGGCTGCGGTACCGGGGCGCGGGGGCTCCACACCTCGCGCGCAAGGGCTCTGGGGCTCACGCTGAGCCCAGCGTCCGAGGCTCCGGGAGGTAACTCGCTCGGGTGACGTCAGGTCACAACATTCCTTAAAGGGGAGGCCGGCGCACTGCTCCCATTGGGCCGACGCAAAACCCGCCCGCCGGGACCTTGACGTCAGGGCGCAAAGAGCCTGGATTCCCCGCCCGCACCAGGAAGGGGTGGCGGCTCCCAGGGGCGTCACAGTCGCGTGACGTCATGGCCTGCGTGGCCCCTCTGTCCCAGGCGGGGCTGAGCAGAGATTGGGAAGCTAGGAGGCAATGGTGGGAGCGGACCCAGCCCTTCGCAGTGGGGAAATCACTGCCCGGCTGCAGCTCAGCATCCTCTCTCCCCTCTGTCACTGCCCTCTGACAGCGCACAGCCAGGCTGTTAGTTCCAGCGACAGTGAGGTGCCGAGGATGACAGAGCCAAACGTCGTCCTTGGGGCTTATGGTTGGAGAAGGGAAAAGGTGGGTGGGCGAGATCAAAACATAAAAGAGCAAGTCACTAAAAAGGAACAGAGCTTTTCAAAGAAATCCCTAGAATTGAAAAATAGAGCTATGGACATTCAAGTCTCAATAGGCAAGCAAGCAGATTGCACACAGCAGAAGAGAATCTCTGAACTGGAGAATAATCAGAAACAACTAAAGAAACAAGGGGATGAAACATGTAAAAGGGAGTGAGTGGAAAGGTAAAGTGAGAACTCTCATGTCCGATCAGAATTCCAGAAGAGAAAAGAAAGAATATAGTAGAGGCAGTTTCTTAAGAAGAGTTTCCAAAGTTGATTGAAGACCAGGATCCTCACATTAAATCCAGAGCAGGATAAATAAAACTAAAATCAGCACCTATGCATTTTGTAGTGAATTTGCAGAACTTGAAAGACAAGACATCAGTTGGGAAAATGGTGAGCAGCTCAACTGGTAAACATGTAAGTCATCTAAACAAGTACTTAATTAGAACATGAATAGTGATGATTAATTTGTGGAGCGCAAACAAGGAGCATGAGACACAGTAACAGGTAAGACTGGCGAGGGTAATCAGAGCTCAGGTGTTCTAAGCAGCTTGGTTTATTTGAGAGGAGGAAAGGGGGAGAATGATAATTGTCCAGCTTTCTACAGTGAAGCACGTATTTCAGACACTTAAGAGGAATCACTAAAAGTATGACTTCTGGTACAGAAAAGAGGAAAAGGTGGTAAAGGGTATTAAAATATAATGGCAGGCAGGAAAGAAAAAAAGGAAGAAAAGTAAAAAGACTGGACTGTAAAGGGTGCCAAACCAGAGGTAGGAAATGTTTTACATTCATCTATTAAAACAGAGATGATCAAGTTGATCAAGCAAAGTAAATGCAGCTCTATGCCATTTACCAGAGGACATTTAAGACCTAAGGGCACCAAAAGTTAAAAAAAAGGGGGGGGGGGTATACTTGAGAAAAACTAACCACAAGATATCTATAGGAAAATCAGACAAAATAGGCTTTAAGGCAAAAGGCATTATTAGGGATAAAGGAGCGTCACCAGTCCAGCTGGCTTAGCTCAGTGGTTGAGCGTCACCCTATGAACCAGAGGTCAGGGTTTGATTCCCAGTCAGGGCACATGCCCGGGTTGTGGGCTCGATCCTCAGTGTGGGGCATGCAGGAGGGACATACAGGATTTTCTCTCATCAATATTTCTATCTCTCCCTCTTCCTTCCGCTCTGAAATCAATAAAATTTTTTAAAAGGGTCACCACAAAATGACAAAAAGAATTTTCAAGATGTAACAATTTTAAACTTGTATGTTAGAGGTTTTAAAAAGGGTTGAAAATGTATAAAGCAAGAGTGACAGGATACAAAGGAAAAGTGTCAAATCCTGTAGCATGGTAGGAGATTTAAGACCTCTTTCAGTAACTGATTGACGAAACAGCCCCCCAAAATAGATGTTAATGCTGTTAATAATCCTGATCAATGGACTCTGACAGAACCATGAACCCAGTCCAGTATGTTACTTTCAAGCACACAAGAAACCTTTACAAAAAAGTTACCTAACTACTGGACCCCAAGACACATCTCAACAGATATCAACGAATCCATTTCATACAGACCATATCTCCTGATGACAGACACGAGCGAAATAAACTCCAAATGTTTGGACATTTAAACATTCTTCTAAAAACTTATTACTTAAAGATAAAATCATATAGAAACTAAAACTGGATCAAACAAAAAATGATAATACATATAAAAACTCAGGGTGGGGCATAGTAAGCTGCAATTAGGAAATTTATAGCCTTTTTAGGTAAGAAGAAATTCGGAAAATGAGCAGTGTCAGTGTTTAAAAGGGTTAACAGCCCTAGCTCGGTTGGAGCATCGTCCTGCGTCCCAAAAAGGTGGTGGGTTTGATTCCCAGTCAGGGCACATACCTAAGTTGAGGGGTCCGTCTCTGGTGGGGGCATATATGGGAAGCAACTGATCAATGTTGCTCTTCTCTCTCTCTCTCTCTCTCTCTCTCTCTCTCTCATCAATAAGAAAAAACATGTCCAGATGAGGATTAAATTTTTTAAATTAAAAAATGAATAACAGTGTAAAAAAGAAAAAGTGAAGGAATATAATAATGAAGATCAGAAATTGATTAAATATAGAACAAAAACACTAGTATGGACCACAAAGCTAGGTCTTTGAAAAAAACAAACACTAATTTCAAAAGTTACATAACTACGATATATCAGAAATGACAACAATAAGATTATACACTCTGCCAGTAAATTTAAAACACAGATGAAATGGACAATTTTCTAGGAAAAGATCATTTGCAAGACTAATGCAAAAAGAAATAGAGTAGACCCATACCTAAAAAACCAACTAGTCCAAATGGTTTTCTATGTGAGCTCTCCCAAAATAAAAGTTAAAACCTAACCTGCAGCAAACATTATACTTAATGGTAAAACACTATAGTATATGATAAAATGTTAAGCATTGTTTTCTTTAAAGCCAGGGACAAACTTTAAAATTGTTTTCACTGAACAAAATGCAGTCCCTGCCAGCGCACCAAGGCCAGGAAAAGATAAGAGCAAAACCATCATTCACAGCCCGAATAACCAAAGGAATCTACAAACGAAAGAACTGCTAACTAAAAAAGTCTGACAACACAATTCCAGGTTTGAGAGGAACATGGGAACTTTTTACACTGCTATGGGAGTGCAAATCATTTCAGCCACATTGGAAAGCAATTTGGCAAAATCTACTAAAGCTGAAGACGCCCATATCGTATAAACCAGGAATTTCACTTCCGGTGCACATGAGTCCAAGAAAATAGTTAGGCAAGTTTATTGG